TTCTTTCTTTCTTTCTTTCTTTCTTTCTTTCTTTCTTTCTTTCTTTCCTTCCTTCCTTCCTTCCTTCCTTCCTTCCTTCCTTCCTTCCTTCCTTCTTTCTTTCCTTCCTTCCTTCATTCCTTCCTTCCAGAGGGAGGGCAGAGAAGTTGCAGAAACATGGCTGATAGGAACAAACAATCATAGTCACATCCTCTGCTACCTTGGACAGCCAAGGAAACTCAAGAATGTCTTTCAAATACCTTAAAAAATACGCCGAGAATCAGCAACAAAATATAACCATGCAATTTGGAGCAAGCTGGACATGGAGAGAGTTTTAGCCTGATAAACTTAATCGATCACAAAGGCAGCCTATCATTCCTTCAATATACATCCTTCCCTGACTTCTGGAAAGGATGTTGGAGTTCCACCCTGTGCAATGTGCCCTTTTCCCATTGATCAACCCTTCTGTTTTTGTTTCCATCAATCATTTGTAGGCTGTGTAAAAACATAGCTAACAAAAGCATTCAGACCAGAAACATCTTCCTCAAAAAACAATCCAGTTTCCTTTTGCTAAAAAACACCTATGAGAAATTCAGACCAGCATCCGCCATTGTAGCAATGCAAAACATAGTTATCACACATTGGGAAGACTTTTGAATTCAATCCCAAGGCCATGGGAGATTATCCTTTTCTTTCTTTCTTTCTTTCTTTCTTTCTTTCTTTCTTTCTTTCTTTCTTTCTTTCTTTCTTTCTTTCTTTCTTTTTTTGGAAAGTGATGCTCACATGTAGGTCTCTGTTGAATAGCCATGATGAGTCCTTGAGTCTTTCTTAGTTGTGTGATGAGACAGAACACACATCTAAAGGTTGACTGAATTTTCTCAATTTAGCCAAGAGACCTAAATATCTGATAGTCTTTCTTCCTAAACAAAGCAAAGTTGGGTTTTGTTTTCCCAAGTTTATTATATGGTCTTTTCATTGTGTGTTGATGTTTCTCTTTTGAAGGTATCTTCTGCTCTTTTTACCGTATTTTTATGGTGGCATTCTGTAAAATTTCTGAAGTTGCAACTCTTCCAGGATAGCCAATCAATCAATCAATCAATCAATCAATCAATCAATCAATCTAGCTATCTAGCTGGAGGATTTTTGTTTAGGAAGGGCAGCCTTAAATGTTGAATTTGTTTGCACAGTGTTTACAATTCCCAGTTTATTAATATTTACATATTTTGCTATGTTCTGGGTCCAAGACAGAACGAAATCTAGAACTAAGTGGCAGGTTGCGATTTTTCCAAAGGACAGACATAACAGTAACTTTTTGTTTATTTGTTTTACCTGTTTAATCCTGAATAAAAATACTGGGAAGTAATAATAAGCCTATTTGAACACCATCAGCATTGACAAAAATCACCATCGGTCTATTGCAAAAGGCAGCTTTACTCGGCATTAACAAAATTCCCATTAGTCGATTGCAAAAGGCAACCTGACTCAGAGCAGCTTACATCCTGCAGCGACATTTTGAACACCATCAAGCAACATCTGCCTATCCCAAAGAAGGACTCAAGAGGTGGACAAAAATACCATCTCCAGTCTAAACATCGGTCTGACTGTGCAACCAACAATTAAATTTATATATCGCCCAGAGACCCTGGTCAACTTACTAATTGTTTAAAATATTTAAAAAAACCAAGAAAACCAAACAGTGACCTAAATAAAATAAGTAGGGTAAAGATTACCGGATGACAAATTGGGTGGGAACAAGGGAAAACAATCAAGGTTCAGAGGTAGTATCAATCATCCTGGCCACAACTGTTTAGGGCAACATCAATGCTTCAGAAAAGGATATGCTACTCGGTTGAGTCATTGTCCTTCCGGCTAACCTACTTAACAAACCTTGATAGAGGGAGGGGTTGGGCTGTGATGCTGTCCCAATTGTTTTGGGGGTAGAACTGGGGTAGGATGAGTTGACTTCAGTAATTCTCCCCCCCACTTGTTTCTGAGAATCGGCAACACCAAGCAACTATTTTGCAACACCGAGCAACTATTTCCTCCATAGCTTTGCAAGTTACTTGTCTACTCAGAATTGAGTTGGCATCATCCTGTTGGTTCTGGGTCCAGCTTGAACCTTATTTAGAAGAGAAGGATCAAGTCGGCCATGCCTCACATTGATTTTAGCAGGTCTGGATTCCAACCTCATGTTCAGCTAGGAGGACCAGGAGTGGACAATTCAATTGTGACTCTGGCTTGTTCACTGGAAGTCTACTCTTTGTGTGTCATCTTCCTGATTTTTGACCAGCATGTTGAGCTAAAAACTCGAGCTAAAGCTGCAATTCAGCCTTAGTTTTGACATCATGTGGGAATCTAATATAACATGATTTCATCATTTCCTACTGTGATATATCTGTGCGTGATAGCCAGCCCCCAGGTTTCTGAAGAAACCTTGCAAATTAAGATTGATTTGTTTTTTAAAGACTAAAACAGGTGAAAAAATATTGTTAAGTGTTTCTCCAGGGGGCCAGGAAGTACATATCAGGATATTTCCCAGTCTGTGATTGAACATCTCTTTATGTCTTGAACTTCATTTGCTTTTGAAAAATTAAAACATGGGAGTGATATCGTCCATGGCTGCTCAGATTAAAAACTGTTAAAAAAAACCCATTTGTATGAGTTTATCAACATGTAAAACACAAGAAAGATTTAAAAATAATAATAGAGGTTATCTTCCACTGTGCTAAAGAGAGTTAGAAGTCGGTGCCTTTTTCTTTACTCCATCTTTTTTCTTTTACCCTCCCCTCTGTTTTCTATTCCATTTTTAAAAAAATGTCTCTTTGTATTTTAGACTGATAAACTAATAAAAAACTCTCTTCAGTTAAAAGAAAATGTAGCAGACAGATTAATCCATCAATTCGGTTTGCATATCTTTGCGTGGGATCCTCATGATATATTCTGTTTATACTCTTTTCATTTCTTCCTTTCTCTTGTTGTAAACTGCCCTACTTTAGCCCCACAATCTATCTATCTATCTATCTATCTATCTATCTATCTATCTATCTATCTATCTATCT